CGTGATTCATATATGCCTTGATCTATCGATCAGAGACTGTTAAGAATGCACTCAGTGAACTCCGCAGAGGCTATTTAAACTGAAATAGTCGATATATGAGGGGGGTGTAATAAGTGTATTTGTCCCGTAATTGGTGTATTTGTCAAGTAATTAATTTTTTAGCATATGAGCACAATAAATTATACCCACGAAATATGTTTGTTGCACTGACCCCGATACTCTATGTCTCAACGAAACGTCAATAGTAGAACATTTTGTAAAATTGTGAGGATTAAACGTTGTGGTACCTTGAAATTTTATTATCCACAGTTACCGACTGCTCTTACAACAAAAAGAACCCAATGAAAAGACCATATTCAGATTTTATTTCATCCGCTCATTCGTTACCCCAGATGGCAATTTTAATTCATGCCAATGATCAGCACTTGTTACACGAAGCTTCTCAATGGCATGTCTGTGTTGCATGCAGCAACTATCGGAAAAAAATACTAGGAGAAAATGAGTATCTCGGTAATCCTAGCTTGACCAAAAGATAAAAATTAGAAACACAATGAAAATTTCAGTGAATTGATTATATTTTCTTCTGAAATTTGAATCATACTTTCTTTTCAAGCTGTGGAATTTCCATAGCCAAGACTCAAGTTATCAACTGGAATTTTCAGGAATTCTTATATGCCCCTTGCTTTTTCGTTCATTCTCAATAAAAATTTTCTGCCTTTGTTTCTTTACATTTGGGGTTTCTTACGAATATGGTATTGGCGTTGAGTGGTACAACACACAAAGGACCAAGCATTTCTATCAACCATATGATATCTAGTTGAATGAGTAACAAATTTAACTGTACAGGCTTGTAGAGACAGCTGAATTAAAGAACATCTGTAACTTTAGCGAGTAACGGTATCAAAAAGCCTGCATTTTCTCAGGATTAAGAATAGCATTAGCATTTCGTAATTATATAACTTTCCTTCCAATGTAAAATCTATCTTATTTGTCGTGGAATAATCATACAACAGAGGTGGGAAATGTTCTTTATCACTGATTGTGCAATTGTACCACTAAAAGAATATTTACTAAGATATTATAGAGGCGTTTCTTTGAGTTTAACCACGGATGCGGTTATCAGTTAATAACCGTACGGGGATGAATTGCAGATATTACTCCTAAAGTGGGTTATAATGCTTTGTGACACATTTTTGTTGCTTAGAGACACATGTACTCTAAATAGTATTGTAGGAGAGCCTAAACTTTATTATTTTAGAGAAGTGTAGATTTATTACATAAAGAACCGATCAATTCAATCAATTTTCAATACAAACTTTGAATTAATCGATTAACTGTTTAAAATACAACTAAGTCCAAGTTTAGTACTGCTCCTAAACTTTTCTAAGATACAGGGCTGGAAATTACATTGTCCGTCGCTAATTACCCATGTGTTCCTTCTCATGTCAAATAGAGAAGAATTGATATTTTAACGAGACTATATATCATGCTTTCAGAACTGTATTATTAAGTATTGCACATCTGCACAGAGAAAAAAGATAGTCCGTCCGTTTTGTTTGTGTTCTTTGTCTATTATTCTCTAAAAATTTCATTGTTGTACAAATGTAAACTGGACTGACTATATATACTAGCAAAAGAGCAAATTTTCTTCCATTAACATATTTTTCAACCGCCTGCATCGTCTTGTGTCGTTTTCCTTTCAAAAAAGTCTTATTAACTAAAACTCCAGCAATGTTTAATGATACCGAAATTCCCATACCGTTATTTTGTAAATCAACAATTGAGGTAAGAATATTCTGTTCTTTTTTTATGAATCGTTCAAGGAAAAACTAAATAGATACATACTGATAATAAGAGTTTATGTGCAGGTGCGTGTCATAATGCTGAGAAGGTTTATTTGAAAGTATTTTTAAATTTAATTTTGCTACAAGTGCTAGGATTTTGTAATATACTTGTGGTAAGAGGAATTCGATGTGCACAGATATTCAAAGAATGGCGTTTTTCTGTTTTGTATTAAAAAGATATATAAAATTTCTGTTCATTTATTGTAACGGCTCAGAGTTTTGTATCGTGTGAATGTATAACCAAATTCTTTTGATCTTCTGTTTACGAGCTGTAGGTTAATTTGCTCAGTAGAATTTAACATCGTTTTAAGTTTGAAGCCATTGCTGAAAAAGATTCATTTTTGCGCAATTGTAAGAAACGAATGATTAGAGAAGACAAACGAAACACGATTTTTGAAAGTATTTTTCCATTTTGCGTCAACTTCTGTAGGATAATATTGTTTTTATTTTTGGATCTTTTAAATAGTTTATAGCACATAATAGAAATATTTATGTATTCTTATCGGAAAGTAATTTTTCTTTGGGTTCTATTTCTATAGAATGATACTCCTATATGGATTGATCGACATACTTCTTGTTCTCCGGTTCAATATGTTCCGTTTCCAAGAGTTGATTATCGTTCATGGTCCTCGACAGACACTGGCAATGGATCATGGTCATCGAACTCATCAGTACGCTCTCTCTCTCATAATACCTGCTATATATGATAAAATTGTTTTCTTTCTGAAGAGCTTTTTATCTGCAAATGCTTTACCATGGCCAGAAAATTCTTTACCAACAAAAACGACAAGTGCAAAATCAAATTATTATGGAAACTTTTTATTGAATTTTGATGATGATAATTCAGTACCTCGTCTTGGATCTCAACATCCGACCCCAACAAAGTTAATAAGTCCAATTGCACGGCCAAAAACAAGTCCAATTAAAATTGTAAGTAGATTTTGTTCTATGAGTAGTAGATTTGAAATTTATAACTCAGTGAGGTTTTCAAGGATTTCGAGAAACAACAAATACAATTCGCCTGATTCTTGTTCGAAACAAGTTGTTTCGGACATTATATAAACGATGGATGTTATTCGCTGGAAAGAAATGGTAATGACCAAGGTTCTCGATCAGAGCAACTTTCTGCCAGAAATTTCGAAAACTATTTTCGCCAGCCACTTTCTGCAAAGCAAAATTTTTAGCTCCTCCCATCCCTAAAAACAACCGGAAACCCTGGTAGTGACTTCTATAAAACGACTCTTTGCTACTAAAAAATACAATTTATTGTATATTGTTTTTACTATGTTCTTATTTGATTTAACGTATTGTATTCAGCATATATTTTCAAAAATTTTAACTAATGATTGAAGTTGCTGTAGATAAACTGTAGTTCTTTTAATATCTAAACTATTCAGTGAAAAAAATGAAAAAATACATTTTATCATTTGTTTTGTGAAGTCCTTCATTTCATTCGAAGAGATAATTCGTCTAACCATTCTAATTATTGAATAGCACACACATGAAACACTGAGACACTTTACAGCAGTTAAAGCGATAACTTTACAATGAGATTATCTTGTAGTAGTGAATATATTGTACATAGTTGTCGTTCACTAGTAAAGCAAAAACTAACAATATAAGAAAAGTTACAGTATTTTATCAGTGTAGATTCATTTGCATTTTATTCTTTATCATAAGAACCATTATATTTCTTATAGGATGTTTGTGAACGAAAAGTAGATGACCGTCCATTGCGTTTGCATGTATCAAATATTCCGTTTTCTTGGACAAAAGAAAAATTAGCAGCTGAATTTGAAGTAAGTTAGTTGTCTGATTTTCTAAAACAAGACTTAGTCATTTTGTTTTTGCTTCAGGTTTTTGGTACAACTTATGATATTGAAGTTGTTTATAATGCACGTGGTTCAAAAGTAAATGTCAAAAATAAAATTTGCCAAAAATTTCATTATAATGTAGCATTTTCACTTCAGGGTTTTGGTTTTGTGACATTTTTAACAATCGCAGATGGTTTGAAAGCAATGGATGGAATGAATGAAAAAATTGTTGATGGCCGACGATTAGTTGTATGTAGTTTAGATATTCCTAGATCTTCAAAAAAAATGTTTACACATTTTCTTATTTAAAGGTTAATTATGCTAAACCAAAACAAAAAAAACATGTTGTTCAGCCATATTATACAGAAGAAGAGTAAGTTATTATTTCCTAGCTTTCAAATTCATTGATGTATAACTACGAAACTTAAACTACATTTTTAATCTTTAAACAGTATTCTTTTCTCTTGACGTTCATTCAAATGAATAAAGTAATAGATGATTAAATATATTAGCCGCATTTTGCATTCTGTAGTTCTGACGAATGAATTATGAGACTGAGAAAAAGTTTTCGGATTCAAATTAAAACGATAATTTGTGAGATTTAATGGTAGTTGATTAAAAGGATAAAGTCGATGGGATCCGTTTTGTATAATTCGACTAGCCAGAAACATTCAGATTGACTTTCACATGGGTTTATTCAAAGATATTGGAGATCGCGAAACGAGCTTAATATCTGTTGCGTATTTCTTAATAGATAAAGTGTATTCTTGTTGCAAGAAAGTTTTCTGCGGATAATAAAAGCGCGTAACTAGATTTTTTGTGAGATCAATCTTACTTCGTTTAGAAAAACGCTTCATACTAAATCAGTGTCAGCAACACCAAAGAAATTTATCCCATCTTTTGCGACACCTCCTCCACCTCGTCGTCAACAAGTAATTGTCGCTTCACAATCAACAAGCTGCTCAACAACTCCTTTACGTGTTCATCAATATTGTTCTCACTTAGAACGTCATTATCATCATTAAATAGAATAATGTGCTACTGTTAATTGGCAAGAGAACAAACTATTTTAAAGTGTGATATGTTCGTATGTACGTGTATTAGATGTTTATCTATATATTTAATCAAAATTTGTTGTTTTTGTAAATACCGATCATTTAATCAGTAGTTATTCTCTCTTCTATTTTACTCTTATTTTTCTGTTTTTTATATCAATTGCAAGAAGAACTAGTAGTCATAGTACTCTTCTCATTTTTACCGGTTTTGCTTGCTACAAAAGATAGAGGAACAAATCAATTCAAATTTTCTATCTATTTTTTAATAAAAATTAACAAAAATGAATTTTCCACGTTTCTTGTCGTTTTTTTTAATTTCTTTCTTTGTGTGCGTGTGTGTGTGTGTGTATTCCTGTGTTTTGTCTAACAGAATTGTTCTTTATTATTATTGTTAATCTTCCTCTCTCTATATATCTATTTTTTCATTTGTTAATGCAATAAAATTGCATGGTAGATTCCTAGCCTAGGAAAAACAAATCATAACAAAAAAATTGAATTATAAAGAGTAGGGTATCCTTGAAAAGATACACAAAGAAGAGTGTATCTTAAGAATTCTCAGCGACTGGAAAAAAGTTTTTAATCGCAATATAATCCGAGAAAGAAATATGATTTGATTATATAATTTCATCTAATTTGTAAAAACAAAGCAATTAGTTGGTGGTGTGTCATAAAATAAGGTTACGCTATTTCGATTGCGTAATACGTTTTATTAAAAATGGATAGAAACACACTTCTGAAAAAACTTATCTCTCCATTTCTCTTGCTAGCGATACCAGGATAATTCTGTATCTAACAACACTCTCGATGCATTTCTGTTGTCTTGAATGTAACTACATGATTTCTCCGTGAGATTAAGTATTTTGATCTAGTGCGTTGCGCCTTCCTGATGCATTGGTGATGTCTATCAAAAGCACCTAAGCTACTTTTTTCAAAAAAAGTAGCGAGCTCTAGGTGTTTTTCTGAAGATATTAAGACGACTAATAGTAAAAAGATGAAAAAACGCACCTAATGTGCCTTCAAAACGCACTGTAGACGCATTTTGAAGCCATCCGAGTGGTTTATCAAGGCACTTTTTTTTGACTGTGTAGCGACGATGTTGAAGTTGACTATTTAACTAACCGACTTATCCAATTAAATCGTCTTTACTAAAGAATAATTAGTTTTTACCGATTACAACGGTGAGTTTCAATCTTATTTCCTCTGATAATGGTATATTAAGCAGCCCAAAACTTTCTATTCGTTCAGTAACTAATCAAATGCACTTCATTATACTATACTGCAGTTTTTATCTTCATTCCAATAAATACTTTAAGAAAAAACGGTTGCATACCAATGAATTGCAAAGAGTAGACCTAATTTCTGTGCTTATTCTTTCCGACGTATTTAATAGAGAAAAAACAACATGTGGTGAGTAATTTAACAATTCACTCCTCGAAAACTTTAATATATGAGGATTATTTGTGTGGGGGGACTGTTTTGAGTTACATGAACTAAAGATGCATGAGTTTTTTGTTCACTAGTTGAAAGTATTGGCGGTTCTTTTGATGCGCATGTCTACAAGTGAAATGTCCATATATGATCATTATTTAGAATGCTAAATATGACAAGTGTACCATTGGTTAAATTGCGTTAGACAAATCGCTGGCATTTCGTATTTTCTTCTCATTTATACACATCTGTGCGTGAGTATTTAATCTGTACAAACAGGACTGAATCAACAAAAATAAGCAAAAACAAAAGTTTAACTTGATTTCGCTGTGGTTCCCCTATGAAATTTGGTATTGAATTTGTTGGTGTTACTTGTGACTGTTGTTGTTGCAGCTGATGTGGGCCGTTTTTTTATTTCAACGAGTTTGATAACATAATTTCTCATTGTTTCGTTTGAATTCAAATAATTGTTTACTTTTTCCGTTTCACTTTGTTGAAGAGGAGGCTTCTCAGCTTTTCCATCTTCCACTCTTTCTTGATGATCACCACCACCATTTTGCTCTTCTTCAATGTCGTCTTCAGCGGAAAACTCCGTTAAAAATGTTCGACGATCATCAAATGCACCATTGTCTAAATGAATAACACAATATAGAGTTAGGGTTAGCTTCTTTTCAAAGTTTGGACTTTTGTTGGCTCCACGCAAAGTGATTCAATGTCTAATCTCTATTTCACTCTGAAAGCTTACTTTCTGTACGGATTGTATTATAAGGTGTTCGAAATGACGATTCTGACCTAAAGAATAAAAGTATAACACCGGGCATTTGGACATATGTATATAGATCTGGCATCAAATTCACATTTTCTGGAAAAATAAGAATCGAAGAAGATTTGACTTAAAAACAGGAGGAATTCAATTTTTAGGTCAGGACATCTCTATTTAGAGCTGAAACTGTATTAACCACTGAGCAATTACTTCTTATATATGAAGTTTTCCGCGTTTCTGAGTCGGATGGAAAATAAAATAAGTAACGAAAAGTAATTGCACTTTCAACGAAACAAAATTTACACATCATTATTCATCTAATGTCAGATACATAATCAACGTACTTTTTCGATGAAAGAACTGAGGTTCGGTGTGAAGTTGTATTAGTTGATATTAAACTTCCATTTTTATCAAAAAGTTCTGGTCTCATTTTCTTCAATCGACGAAGTTTTTCTTCATATACTATAGTCAAATCATTCGCTTTCGCTGCTGGCACTGCGAAAGATAAATACCAGAATTAATGGTCACATACATTGATAAAAATATTGTTCTTATTACCTGGAGCAATGCCCACACACGCATTTATTTGAGGACCACCTGTCGAATGATTAATCATCAGCGGTCTTAATCTAAATTGGGATAAATATTTTGTATGTTTTTCGTTGATTTTCATAACTTTTATATTTTTACCGTCCTTGTCTTGGTCTTCCATTGTTGTTTCCTCCTTTAGCTCTAGCTTCATGTTGTAGTTGATGTTTCAATGATTCATAACATGACGAAAAGTGATTGATTAATTCGATTGTCGAATGCAATAAAGATTCTGCTGGATTTACCACATTCTATCAGAATACAGAACAAAAATACACTATTCTACTTTAGAAATATGCAAATTCTGCCTTAAAAAATATTTAAAATTACGTGGGAATTCGGATAAATGTCCTTGATGAGAATGACTTCGGAAATTTTTAGTGAATAAATATTTTTTATGGACTTGATACCGTCTCGTTGAACTATTACTTACGAACAAACTGTGAACTGTCATAATTATAACTTAACATCCCTAGACAAGAATTTTTTGCTAAAACTGATAGGATTCTTATAAGAATCTTATCAGTTTCTTATATAAGATTGTTTAAGATTTCCCATCGACAGTCGTAAGTGTCTTATAAGAATCTTATAAGATTT